GGCCCATATGCAAAAAATTTGTAGGCCCCCCCCCCCCCAATGATATGAGCTCCAACTCGGCTAATTTATTGTTGATTTTTTAGACGTAAATAATATTATGTGATTATTCACAAGCTGTTTTAATTACGGTATAAATGCTGGGAAATAATATTGTTTTCAAGTCCATTCATTGTAGCACACAGGCCGCCCAATAATCGCAATAAGCTTTGGGCTTTGTTACTTTTCTTATAACACAAAGTCTCAGCCTTCTGTCAATTTTAAGATCAAATACAAACAATAAATGTGTTTTACACTCTTTTATGTTTAATGAGATAACTATATTAGCTTCAGTTCAAGCGGCATGTGAATCAATTATATTTTACTCTTTAATATTTGCAGCACAAAATAAGCATGAATAAATATTTGAATGCATATAAAAAAAATCTGAACAATTTAATAAAAACGAATATCTCATGAAATCGATCAATTAGAGTTTCAAAAACATCAATAAGCCTACATTTTATTGCTGTTTTTCATGTTAAATGTGAAGAATGACAGGTTGGATGCCACAGACATTTTTTTGGCGGAGTATAGGTGTAATTTTCACATTAACTTCATGCAATATAACATGATTTTGACTTTATTCTTAAAATATTATCATGTTAATCTTATTTCTTTAGTTATTTTTTCAGCGTGACACTAAAATGCCGCAAAAAATAAATAAATGAAAAAAAATTGTAAAAAATAGTATGAAGTTGAGATCCTAGCCATCTCCTCATTGGACACGCCTTTAGAGAGAAATGCATCTTTGTGGATTACATAATGAAAGAGTTTTTCATTTTTGATTTGAATTATTTTGTTTTAAAGTAGTAATTTATAGCATTCTATAAATATATTTATCATGTCAGTGAGGCAATTAAAGCGTTTGTGAAGCGTTTCTGCGCAAGACTGTGACTGCAGAAAGCCACCCTGATTGTTTTCTTTATTTTACAAAAGCACAAGGTTTTGTTGATATTGTGAGTGCACACAAATAAAAGTAGACACTTTGCAGTTCCGAATGATGTATACTCTTACCTTTATGAGGGAAAATTATGGCGTATTTTAAGTTTCCACTCTTATTAAGAAAAAAATGCAAGTGATTGCACTGGTGCCTCCATGTCCTGCAAAGCGTGCTTCACCTTCCACTCTTAGCACAAATAATTGGATATTTATCACACATTTATCTTAAATATTTAAATTTATATTGAAAAATGCATGAAGTTTTTTATGTCTCAAATCGTGTTTATTTGAGAAGGCTAAACTGATCAAACATATGCTCAACTCACTGTCTGGCGCTGGCCGCTTGGTATTTTAAAAAACAAAAACCTGAATTTAACAAACCGCCACCTTGGAATTATAAGTTTCTATCTGCATTCTGAGCAGTTTTGAGATATTGAGCTTCAAGGTTTTTGAGTTCCATAGACTTCTGTAGATAGAACCCTTTTTGTTTTCAAAAAAAAGGCCCAAAATGTGCACAGCTTTCAAAAGAAACCTAACATAATGTACATAAGTTGTCACAGAATAAGAATATGTGAATAACTCCATTTTGATAAAAATGTCAGACAGAACCTTATAATTCCAAGGCGATGAAATATAAAATGTTCCAGTCATGTTTCTAAATTAACTTAATAAAGAAACGAAACTAAACGAAATATAACCACTTTGCCATTAAAAACCAGAACTGGACTAGTTTTATGGCTGCCTCTGTCTTCGGCATTCTCCTGGCGGTCGTAGGAGGCAAGTGCACCACCTGCATCGAGAACAAAACCACCAAGGCAAGAGTTGTCATATCTGCAGGGGTGTTTTTCCTCATCAGTGGACTGCTGTGTCTCACACCCGTCTGCTGGTCGGCGCACACCATCATCCGGGACTTCTACAACCCGCTCTTGATGGACGCGCAGAGACGGGAGCTCGGGGCGTCGCTCTACACGGGCTGGGGCGCCGCGGGGCTGCTGCTCTCCGGCGGAGCGATACTGTGCTGCCAGTGCCCTCAGAAAGACCAACGAGCATTCGCCCCCAAATACCCAGCAAACCACTTTGCCATTAAAAACCAGAACTGGACTAGTTTTATGGCTGCAACGGCAGCTGTGTAAAGGGGAAGAGAGAGAGAGAGAGAGAGAGAAGACACGCGGACTCAGGTCGTACTCGGGTGGAGAATTCTGATAAGCTGTTGGACAAGGGCCGGGCCTTAAAAGTTCCCCCTCGGCTCGGCGGGCCCCCAGTCTGCCCGGGCTCATATGCACCTGCATACCCAGACGCTAAGCCCCTGGCTCATGCAGCAGGTGTGTAGCATCTTTGTTTGGATCGTGTTTTAATTGCAGTGGTTGCCTCTAATTTTAAATGGAGATATTTTTAAGGCCAGTTTGCTTGTTACAGAGCGAATAAACAATAAGTAAATTTGCATAAAAAAATCAGCAACCAGTATCGGAATCAGCCAATTTGCTTGTAAAAAAATTAATAAAATATCGGAATCTGAATTGGCCATGAAAAATCATGATGGGGTGCATCACTAATTAAAATATTAAATAAAAGATCTGAGATTGCACGTACAATCTGGGTTGTCTTTTTCTATCAATTCAATTCTTCACGGATCTTGGGCTTAAAAAAGTTGATGACCACTGATCTACACTAATATACTGTACACAGAACTGCTGAGAACACAATAGGATAAGTGAAAATAACAAAATTCACAGTAACATGTACACAGATTGTACATTAGGAACTGTTGCGAATACTGTAATATTACTGTAAAACAACAACAAAAAATAATTTACAGTGTAAGTGAATTTACTGAAAGGGTTCAAGGAAATGTCATATCTCTATTGCAAAATTGTTCTCAGTATAGTTTGGCTGTGGTCTGAACACATTCTTAGTTGTGATCTCTTTATAACTAAAATGAAATTTTATTATCAAAGAAAATTTATTATCATCATCATCATCTTTTTTTCTCCCTTTTTGGGGGTGAAAAAGCAGAACAGAAACAGTTTAGCTTTTCTTTTTTTTTTTTTTTTACTGAAAGACCAACGAGCATTCGCCCCCAAATACCCAGCACCGAAATCAAACGCCTCAGAAAAAGAATATGTATGAAGAACATTTAAAACTTTATAAGTTTGCTTTTCATTTGTATTATAGACAAGTTCTCTGTAATGAACAATAATGTTAAATTTTTGACAGTATGGACTATTAATCCAGTGGTTTAAATATAACCTAATACATGATTAGACAGTTTTAATATTAAACCTTTTTATTTTTTGTAAAAATAGGCCTAATTAATAAAAGTAAAAATAATGAATGATAATGCTGTATTCAATAATTGTCGTCACGTTAATTTATGTTGCTGTTGGAATGCAGTATTAATATTACAAATGCAGTATTATTAAAACAAAAATGACATATTACCACCTTAGATTATTAACAAGTTTTCAGTTTTTGCCATTTTGATCATTTATGTGTGGGGAGCAGAAGTATATATGATTGTCCAGAGATTGTATTTTTTAAAAGTCTGAGTTTACGTAAAAATAATTGTTGTATTATGGTGTTATGTTTTATTTAAAAATAATAATAAAACATTAAAGCAATATTAAAAATTGAAAAAAAAATGTTAAAGGGTATGTGGCATAACAAATGCCAGTTAGTTATCAAAATAAATAGATCAAAATAAAAAATGAAACCCCTCTAGACCGTGATTACTTGGTGTCTTACATTTTGATTTCAGTTCATTTCAGAGTTCATCATTTACACAAAGTTCTTGCCGGATGGTGCAGAAGCTTCAGACCGAGATGGAGCGTTATATTTGGCTGTGTATTATCCCGTTTTCTCCTTTGGTGGGCAGCTGCAGCAGAGCAAACCTCCCCCAATGATCAACAGCGCAGCGGCTCCCCAGCCGATGTAAAGCGCTGCTCCCAGCTCTCTCTTCTGTGCTTGGTTCAACAAGGGGTTGTAGAAGTCCTGGATGATGACGTGGGCTGTCCAGCACACCGGGATCAGACACAGCACCCCAGCAATGACGAAAATCACACCGGCAGTGATACCGACCTTGGATTTGGAGCTCTCGTCCTCGACGCAATTGGTGCATTTGCCTCCAGCCATGGCCAGCATGATGCCCAGGATCCCAATTACGATGGAAATGATGGTGAGGGCACGGGCTGCCTGAAGGTCTGAGGAGAGGGCCAGCATGGAGTCATAGACTTTACACTGCATCTGTCCGGTGCTCTGCACGACACAGTTCATCCAGATTCCTTCCCATGATGTCTGCGCCGTGATGATGTTGCTGCCAATGAAAGCTGTGACTTTCCACATGGGAATAGCACAGACCACAATGACACCGATCCATCCTAAGATGGCCAGGGCAGTGCCCAGTAACTGAAGCCCGGCAGACACCATGATCTTTGGCTTTTCTTTGTCTCTTGATGTGGCTCTCTCTGCAGTGCTTACAGGTGTATGTCTCAGAGGCTGCGTGCTGATGCTTTAAAAGAGCCTGTGAAGTTTTGGGGGAGGGACTTCTGTCGAATGACTCGCTCTGCTGGTTTTGTAGTTACTTCATGGGGTGTGACTAAGCCCAGGCTTGAATGAGTCACTACCATGATATTTTTTGTTGCGGACACAGTACCTTATATGGTATATGGTTATGTAGTATTTACTCTTCAAAATTGTAATATCTACTGTATGTAAAAATCTATGGAGGGATCAGTAAAATAGAACATGTGCAATGCAATACTAAGAAAAAAAGTTGTTGGTTTTTTTGTGTGTTGTTGATAGAATTCAGGAACAGAATATAAGACAGGAAGTGCTGCTCAGAGGAACTAATCATTTTCCCAGGAAAATAAAACGAAACAATGTCTTGAAACTATTTTTGGAAATTGTTGAGAGATCTCAAAACTCATCACTAATAAAAACGAATATAAATAAATGTAAATCAACTCATATAAAAAAATATTACTCAGTTCAATTACAAATTGCATTAATGTATACATTTAATTTATGACATAATTTTTATTTTAGTTGTAGTTTTTTTATTTTAATTATAGATTTTATAAATTGCTATTTATTTCATTTTTATAATTAACATTCTTAAAAATATAGATGTAATAAACATATATATATATACATACATTATGTGTGTATATATATATATATATATATGCGCACACTTATAAGTATGTCTACAAATATCGTGTAGGATTTACTTTGAAACAATTTTCACTCAGAAATTGATCAAATAATTACTAAGAAGTAGAAAGACTGAAATAGTATTTACTCAGTACTCTTTGTTTTATTTTCAACAAATATTTTTACAGTGTACAGGACAGTTTGTCCACACCATTATCAAATTTCTCTATTTAGGTTTGTGCTGTGTGCTCCCTCATGCTGCCTCATGGCCAACAAATTATCAAGAATGTAGCAGCTGGTTTCATATGACACAATAGAGCAGACTTTTGTGATGTTTTTTCTAGGTTGTTGAGCACTGACCATGATCTTATCAAAAGCTCCAAGATATCTCAGGTACAGCGTTGTTTCTTCTGGATATGACACATATGTAACAAATATGCTATATTTACTTAGTGTCTTACTCAGCAGGTTAGCAATTCCCATGGCAACTATTTCTCAAGAGTTCCCTGACGTTGTGCCTCAGTGAGGGGGAGGAGCAGCCCGGATGCACCTGTACCCACCTGAGCTGGTCAGACCGGTTCCTGCTGGAGCACAGGTGAAATGTTGACACTGCGTCTGGGCAAGACTGAACAGCTCATCACAGATCCTTGCATCAACAAGCCTGTTCAACTGACAATAACAGAGAATAATCAAATCTTGACAACACAGTTTGTGTTTATGTTATTGTGTTACATATAGGCCACACGCTGCTTTAATAAAGCAAGGAGAAAAAAATTAGAAACAAGCTTCATTGTTATCCATAACATGAAACCTCATTTACAAAGAGACGGGAATGAGTTGATATTGTTCCTCAATGAGAACACATTGCTTATGCTATGAATAGCAAATATATATCGGAATGGGAGGAACTATATTACATTATGCATAAAATATACTATCATAGCTATATTTTGTGGCACATATAATTCTAATTCTATAATTATCTTAACTGAAGAATAATAGTAAGGCAAATGTAATGTCCCAGCTTGGCAAAGGGTGTGTTTGTGTTTTCCTTGTGTGTTTAAATCTTCAGCAGAATATCACATTCAGAAAAATAAACATGATATCAGAGTCAAACAGAGACACCCTTTCTTGTTGACAAGGGGCTGTTTCACATGGGATTGGTTCTGAGAAAGCTGTAAGCCTTGAACTCAATAGATAAACATAACCTTTTTGAGACTTATCATATAATGTTGAACCATTTCAGCTTTACAACTTAGTGATGGGTGTTAATTATATGAGCAACATGAATATGACAGATATAAGCAACACAAAATTAGCATTTAAGGAATTTAGTAGATGCTGCATTTACAGATAGTTTGCAAGCACAGAATGCAATTCAGAAAGTTAACCTACCTTTTTACATCGGCCTATACAAATACAAACAGTATGACTTAATACAGCTTAATAGTGTGACATATTGCTTAAGTCAACAAACAGGTTCATTTTCAAGATTACAGTGTATTACATGTGATTGACAGTTGTTTTGTATGGTAATTGTATGCCAACTAGTGGCTAAATATGTAATAGCATTAAAGACGTGCTTGTCGTTTATTATTTTATTATTGCTTTATTTATTCAAGTTCTATCACATACGTTCACATACGAGGGTCGGTTCTGTACCTTCTTGTGTAACAACCAGCTCCGAAACCGAAAACAAGGAGGAGAAACGGGAAATGGGAAAACAGTCTTCAAACTTTAGTTTTGATAAGTAGCCTATATAATTTGTCATGAGGTGAAAGTGTCCTTTAGACAACCTTTGTGCGCGGGGTTTATTTATCATATACAGAAAATTTGTACGGGCCCCCAAATGATATGGGCTCCAACTCAGTTAACTTATTGTTGATTTTTCTGACGTAAATAACATTACGTGACTATTCACAAGCTGTTTTAATTACGGGATAAATGCTTGGAAATAATATTTAACATTTTCAAGTCCATTCATTGTAGCACGCAAGCCGCCCAATAATCGCAATAAGCTTTGGGCTTTGTTACTTTTCTTATAACACAAAGTCTATTTTAAGATCAAATACAAACAATAAATGTGTTTTACGCTCTTTTATGTTTAGTGAGATAACTATATTAGCTTCAGTTCAAGCGGCATGTGAATCAATTATATTTTCCTCTTTAATATTTGCAGCACAAAATAAGCATGAATAAATATTTGAATGCATATAAAAAAAAATCTGAGCAATTGAATACAAACGAATATCTCATGAAATCGATCAATTAGAGTTCCAAAAACATCAATAAGCCTACAATTTATTGCTATTTTTCGTGTTAAATGTGAAGAATGACAGGTTGGATGCCACAGACTTTTTTTTGGCGGAGTAAAGGTGTAATTTTCACATTAACTTCATGCAATATAACATGATTTTATTATCGTAATTTTGACTTTATTCTTAGAATATTATGAGTTATTTTTTCAGCGTGGCACTAAAATGCTGCTGTATCTATTTGTACTGCATGCAAACAAAATCTTGGCACGGCGACCCCCCCACCCTCAAAAAAAAGTAAAAAATAGTATTAAGTTGACGATCCTGACTCCCATCTCCTCATTGGACACGCCTTTAGAGAGAAATGCATCTTTAAGGATTACATAATGAAAGAGTTTTTCATTTTTTATTAGAATTATTTCGTTTTAAAGTAGTAATTTATAGCATTCTATAAATATATTTATCATGTCAGTGAGGCAAGTATTTGTTGAGTTTCGGTTCAGAATTTTGTGAAGCGTTTCTGCGCAAGACTGTGACTGCAGAAAGCCACCCTGTTTGTTTTCTTTATTTTACAAAAGCACAAGGTTTTGTTGATATTGTGAGTGCACACAAATAAAAGTAGACACTTTGCAGTTCCGAATGATGTATACTCTTACCTTTATGAGGGAAAATTATGGCGTATTTTAAGTTTCCACTCTTATTATGAAAAAAATGCAAGTGATTGCACTGGTGCCTCCATGTCCTGCAAAGCGTGCTTCACCTTCCACTCTTAGCACAAAGGATTGGATATTTATCACACATTTATCTTAAATATTTAAATTTATATTGTGAAATGCATGAAGTTTTTTATGTCGCAAATCGTGTTTATTTGAGAAGGCTAAACTGATCAAACATATGCTCAACTCACTGTGTGGCGCTGGCCGCTTGGTATTTTAAAAAACAAAAACTTGAATTTAACAAACCGCCACCTTGGAATTATAAGTTTCTATCTGCATTCTGAGCAGTTTTGAGATATTGAGCTTCAAGGTTTTTGAGTTCCATAGACTTCTGTAGATAGAACCCTTTTTGTTTTCTAAAAAAAATAGAACCATTTTTGTTTAAAAAAAAAAAGGCCCAAAATGTACACATCTTACAAAAGAAACCTCACATAATGTAAATAAGTTGTCACAGCATAAGAATATATGAATAACTCCATTTTGACAAAAATGTCAGATAGAAACTTATAATTCCAAGGCGATGAAACAAAATGTTCCAGTCATGTTTCTAAATTAACTTAATAAAGAAACAAAATTAAATATAACCATTTTGCTATTAAAAACCAAAACTGAACAATTTTTATGGCTGCAACAGTAGCTGTGTAAAGGGGAAGTGAGAGAGAGAGAGAGAGAGAGAGAGAGAGAGAGAGAAGACACGCGGGCTCAGGTCGGACTCGGGCGGAGAATTCTGATAAGCTGTCGGACAAGGGCCGGGAAAAGATCCCTAAAGTTGCAAAGACTAAAGTCTCAAACCTAAAGAGATATTTTTGATAAAAGTTAAGACTCGTCCACGCCCTCCTAAAACGCCTCGTTTAAATAAGCCCCCACATGTCTACATCAAGATGTGGGAAGATTTGCATAACGGCGCCCAAATGTTCACGCAAAGAAAGAAGGCATAACTTTATTGTTGCTGCCGCCACTGCCGCCATGTTGTGAAGACGTTGTGTGTTTCGTTGCGAAAGCGAAAATACTTTGTTTGGCCTTCCAAAAGAGGACACGACTAGAAATCAGTGGTTAAGTTGTATTTACAACACTGTTCCAGAACACTTCAACCCAAATATTCAGATGTGTGCAGCGCATTTTATGGAGGACTGTTTCCTGATTCTGGAAGTGTAGACTACAATGCCGGCTGTTCTGACTCACAGTCTGTAAGTACGTTTTCATATTTAAAGAATTTGCCACTGACGATTCAAGCGCGAGTTTTGGGCAGTGTAGAGTAGGGCTTGTTGTTTGTCATTTCTCCGACCACAGATGCAGACATGGTTTTATGTTTACGCAGCCAAATTAAAGAATCTCCAATGTGTTTATTTCAGCTCTTTTATAATTTGTTGAGTTTGAGGG